CGGGGGGAGGCGGGAGGGTCCCCAGGACCACTGCATTGCAACCGCTCCTCCCAGTGTTGCCCGGGGAGGGAGGGCCAGGGCCACCACCTTCCTCAGAGCACTAGAGCGCGGGCACCTTCTGAATCGAGGGCAGTGCCCAGAGCGGGTGACGCTGGTCCTGGCCCCCTCTTGAGCGTCAGCCGTGCCTGAATTCCTACCGAGTCCAGCCTGGACTCTCCTCCCCGCCTCGTCCAGAGCTGCTCCTCGCCCGGGCTCGGAGCTGCGATACTAACCTCAGTGCGGTGCCTGGGAGGGCTGGGCCAAGCCGGTGAGGCTGAGGTCTCGCAGTGGCCTTGCCTGGGAGGGCACGTGGAGCCCAAGGCTCCTCCAGCTCAGTGTGCGGCCGCCAGGTGTGCTTCCTGCCTGCCTTGGGTCTTTCCACACTGTGTCCTAGTTTGCAGTCCCCTCTGCCGCTCGAGGTGGCCCGGCTGCAGCTGTCCCTTGCAGGTGAGGTAGAAAGGGCACTGGGGCGTGGGGGTCGGGCCCCGGGGCTCCGATTCTGCTTCTGTCTCTGCCTGGCTGTAAAAGCTTGGGCCGGGCATCCAGCTTCTTTGTATGTTTGTCCGTCTGCATGGTGGGATGGATCCATGTCTTGCCAGCAGGTAGGGTTGTGGTGAGGATCAAAGAGACTGTAATAGTGAACGTATTTGTGGGCAGGCCGCTAGATCCCACGTGGCCGACAATGTGCTTCGAATCCTGGGCCTAGCTGCTTGAGAAACACTGGGCGCGTGTGCATGCATGCCCCAAATTCTGAGGGAACGGAGTGGAGGGATTGCAGAAACAGAAAACGGTGACAGATACCAGATACAGTGTGGGAAGAGTGGGGAGGAGAGTCTGAGACAGGACGTCACAGGACACAGAAACGGGTTCTTACCTGCTCGTGGGAGCGTGTATCGTATCCCCGACTGGACTGGTGAGAAGCGCCTTCCCGTTGGAACATTCACTTTACAAGCTAGGTGACGTGTGATTTGAATATATTAAAGAAATTTAAATTTAAAAAATTAATTTGGGGGCTGACAGGTGTCACAGTGGTTAAGGGCGCTGGACTCCCACATGGCTGGCTGCGGTTCAAGTCCTGGACCTGGCGGCTTGCTTTCTCATTTTCTCTTTCCTGTCTTTCTATAGTAAAATTAAAATAAGTAAATAAATAAAGTTAAATAAAATATTCTAAAAAAAGGGATTGTAGAAGCCATCCGCCCTGTGGGGAGGTGGTGTTTTCTTACTTTCGCTCTCTGTTTCTGACGAGTACATGTGCCCCACAACAAATTTAAAAAAGAAAGAGGGAGAGAAAGAATGGAAAGGAAGGAAGGGAAGAGGGGAGGGCGGGCATATCAGGATGTGTTCTCCCCATGCTTGCAGGACAGACAGACCAAGGCGTGAGGCTTGGATACTTTCTTTTTGCTTCATTCATTTATTTTCATTTGACCAGAGAGAGAGAGAGAGAAAGTGAGAAAGCAAGCCACCAGGTCTGGGACTCAAATTGCAGTCGGCCATGTGGGAGTGTCCAGTGCCTTAACCACCTCCACCCGCTGGTCCCCCAAGATTGAATACTTTTTAAAATTTGCTGTAGGGCATGTGCACTTGCTAGAGACACTCTCCAGACTGCCGGGTCTGGGCTGCAGACCTGCAGTCAGCTATGCGGGACCTCGCCACCTTAACCCCAGAGCTCTGCTTTTCTTTGTTTGCTATGCGGCGTGTTCACTCACTGGAGATAGACAGAAAGAGGGAAAGTGAGAAGTCATCCTCCATGCAAAGAGCCGCACCACAATCCCTTCTTCATTCTTCTCAGGATTTTGGCCACGCATGCACACAAACTTGGCATGTTTCTGAAGCTGCTAGGTCCGGGACTCAGTCGGCCATGTGGGATCCGGCCTCTTAAAACCTCTATGCCACCTGCTGGCTCCTAAATCTGTTTCTTTCTTCCTTTTTTTTATAAAGAATTGTTTAATTTTACTTGCTAGTATTATTTTTTAAATTTGATCTGTGAGAGGCAGAGAGAAAAGGAAAGTGAAAAAGCAAGTCACCCAGCTCACTGCGGTTAGTGCTTTACTCCCTCCTTAGTCAGCTGGAATGAGCACCAGGAGCAACCAAAAGCTGGAAACCAAACCAGCATTTTTCAAGTCGCTAAATGCTTCTCCATGTAAGATTCCTGCTCGTCGGTGGACGGGTGTCCTTATTCTTTACACATCATAGGTTGGACGACTTGTCCCGGTTGCGCAGGCTGTAAGCGCGAGAGCCTCGATTGGAGTCCACTTCTGAGTCTGAGTTGTTTTTGTGTTTTTGTTTTGTTTTTAATTTACTCATAAATATCTAAACAAAACTAAAGGAAATGATGGAAACTAACATCTTGCTTCTCCTTTCAAGTCAACGTTGGCGAGGACTGCCCGGTGTTCGACGGGCTGTTCGAGTTCTGTCAGTTGTCGACCGGCGGCTCCGTGGGTAAGGAATGTGTGCCTCCTCCCGACGGGCTGTGCCGGCCCCGGGCGCGCTGCCTTTTCGGCCACTGTCCTGGGTAGGACTCACCTGGGGCTCGTAGAGTGGACGCTGTGGGCTTTTCCTTGGGGTCAGGTTCAGCCTCTGACGTACGCGGACGGGTGTCCTTGCCTCCGCTCCTGCCAGTGACTCCCTGCAGGCCACTGGGCGTGCGGAGCTGCCGTCCCTGAGCGCGTCTAGCAGCGAGCGCTCGAGGTGGGGCGCCAGCAGCTGCCCTGCGGTCACGGTAATTACCGTCGGAGGCCGGGAACTCCCCGCAAGTCCCTGCGCGCCATTTGTAACTTCTGGGAATACCGTAAACCGTTTCTTTTTCTTTCTTTGTTTTTAAATTATTTACTTATTTTACTTACTGTTTTAAAACTTGCTGTGGGGCACATGTGCTCACCAGAGGGAGGGGCCAGGAAGTGAGAAAGCAAGCCGCCAGGTCTGGGACTCCAACTGTGGTTGGCTGTGTGGGAGTCTAGCCCCTTAACCACCTTGCTGCCTACTGGCCCTTATAAACCATTTTTTGTTATATAATTTTATTTATTATTATTTTTTAAATTTGCTATAGAACACATGCACTCACCAGAGAGAGAGAAAAAGTGAGAAAGCAAGCCACCAGGTCTGGGACTTGAACCGTGGTTGATCATATGGGAATCCAGCACCTTAGCCACCACGTCACCGCTAGCCCTCTACATCTGTTTTTTTTCTGTTTGTGTATATCTGGACAAACACATGCAACATCTGTGTTATGTGAGTCTACCGTGCCGTGTGTGTGTGAGATGCGCATCATGCATGTTAGGTTGTAGGAAAGTCGTGCGGCGTGGCTTCCCCGACTGAAGGCAGGTAGCTAGATAGGACACGTTTTTGCCAAGTTAGAATGGAAGGTCTGTCTGCCTGCAGGACTCGGTGCTCTCCCACCGCGTGCTTTCTTGTGCTCCGTGATTTTCCATCTTTCGGCCGACCCCGCGCCGTACAGTCTGTCCCCTCCGGGCGGGTCATGTCAGTGGCCCGTGCTTTTGCTCGTTACAGTTAAAACTCCCACAGGGCTGGCCCCACGGCCTGGTAGTAAGGGAGCTGGGTCCCAGGCGGCTGCGCAGTTCGAATCCTGGCCACGTGCCCAGGACCCTGAACGGGGTGGGGGCCGCATGTGCCGTGTCATTGGCCAGTGCTTTCTCCCTCTCCATCCCCTCTCCATGTCTCTCTGTCTCTCTCTGCTGTGCGTGCCTGCTTTCTGGCAAATTACTTAGAAAGATTAAGTTAATAGCGCCACAGTGCACTCTACATGGTGTGTGTTTCTGTCACTTTCTGGACTTATGAAGGGTATTCAAAAGCTTCTTGGAAAATGAGTAGTATGAAAAACTTTTCATAGATTTCAGTTCCTTTCCACTAAAATGCAGATGAGGTGCAGGCCAGGCCTCCGTTCACCCTCATGCGCTGGTTGTTCACACTTGAACCCAGCGCTGCACTTGGGACCTTTTCAAACACATCCTGTTTTAGGTTTTTGTCATAGGGCGCATGCTCGCTGGAGAGAGAGAGGGCGACAGGGAAAGGGAGCAATCACCCCCCGAGGGGGTGGTCATGCCACAGCCACTTCACTCTCCTGGGACCTGGTACGCACGCACACATACGGGCCCGATTCTCAAGTTCCCCTGTCCGGAACTCAGACACGGGCGGCCCCGTGGGAGTCCAGTGCCTTCACACCACGCCACCTGCCGGCCCCTCTTCAGAACGTGTTTACTGTGAGCGTTCTAAGAAATCCATACATGCAACCCAGCAGCCACGTGTGCTTGTGCACACACAGACACACGCACTCTGAAACGCGATTCCCACAGAAGAGCAGTTACCTCTGCTGTTACTCTGGTATTTTTACTGTTTTATTTTTTTAAATATTTACTAATCATGTCATTACCCACTTGATCAATTTTAAGATTTCCCACTGGGTTTCCATCTTCAGTTTGGAAAACAGATTTTAAGAGTAGCCAGTCTTGAGACCAGCACTTGGTGTAATGGCTATGTCGCTGGACTCCCATGTAGTCAACCATGGTTCAAGTCCTGGATCCAGTGGCTTAAACTCACACTAGGCGCGTGTGCGTGCGTGCCCAAGATCCTGAGATGAGAATGGAGGAGAAGGGATTGCGGCGTGGCCATCCCCCTGGGGGGGTGATTTCTCGCTTTCTGTCTCTCTGTCTCTGTCTTTCTGGTGAGCACACGCGCCCTATAGCGAAAACCTCTCTAAAAAACAGAGTAGTCAGTCTTGTGTTTATTCCCTGCGGCGGGAGGGGCCGCGCTGTGAATTTGCGGTACCGCAGTGGAGCAGGCGGGCCCTACCTCGCATTGCGTTTTCTGGGCTTCTTGGAGGAAAGGGCAGGTGCCTTAGTGACTGGCTTGCGTTCTCTCTCCCTACGCCCAGCCAGCGCCGTGAAACTGAATAAGCAGCAGACGGACATTGCTGTGAACTGGGCCGGGGGCCTGCACCATGCAAAGAAGTCCGAGGCGTCTGGCTTCTGTTACGTCAACGACATCGTCTTGGCCATCCTGGAGCTGCTAAAGTACGCCTGCCCGGCCTCGGCTCTCGGAGGGCACCGGAGGGCGCCGTAGGCCAGGTTCCCTTTCCTGTCCCCGGGCTTGCCTCCCTAGTTCGCTTTTCGGCGAGTGTCTCTGGCCGTCCTCTCCTTGGCGGGGTCTTGGTTTGATCTGAGCCTGCGGCAAGATCAGGGGCAGGTGCCGCTCAGATCCTGCCTCCAGAGTGTCCCTGTGTGGCTGGAGCTGACCCTGCCTGTAGAGTAGGAAGATCGGACTTGGTCGGCTC